GGTCCTTCCAGAGACCTGCAGCCCGTGGAGAGGGAAGCCCACGCTGGAGCAGGTTTTTCCTGGGTAGGATTTGTGGCCCCTGTGGGGGACCCACATCAGTACAGCTCATTCGTAAAGGACTGCACCCCATGGAGAAGTGACCCACAGGACAGCAGTTTGGGAATAACTATTGCCCGAGGGATGGACTCACACTGGAGAGGTCCATCAAGGACTGTCTCCTGTGGGAGGGATCCCATGGGAGCAGTGGAAGGACTCCTCTCCCTGAGCAGCAGCAGAAACAACAACTGACCATAAGCCCCATTCCCCATCCCCCTACACCGCTGGGGAGGAGGAGGGAGAACATGGAAGGAAGGAGGGATGGAGGGAAGGTGTTTTTAAGATCCTTTTACTTCTCATTCTTTTGCTCTTATCCTGTTAGTAATAAATATAAGTAATATCCTCACTTTGAGTCTGTTTTGCCTGTGATGGTGATCAGTAACCTCTTCCAACTCTTATCTCAACTCATGAATCCTTCACTGCTTTTTTTTTTCTCTCCTCTGTCCAGTTGCAGAGGGGAGTGAGAGAGCGGCTGTAGAGAGTATCTGGTGTCCAGCCAGGGTCAACCCACTACAAAATTATAAACAAAGGTACAAGAAATAGATTACCACAGGTATTAGTAAACCTATATTGCCCTGAGCAAACCCTGTTTCTCAACCAACAGCTGCACTAACCACTGCATAGTTTAACCACACACTTCACTATGCACATACACAAAAATAAAACAAATTAAACCCCCTCAGAACTTAGTTTTCTACAGGCACAGTTATTAGCCTAATTGTGCATCATTAACAAGCTCAGTCTCTAAATCAAGGAGAACAAAACCAAGATTACCCAACTTCCTCTTCTCCCAAGCTTCCAGGTCCTCTGCATCTGAGCTTCCAAGCTGCAGTTCAAGGCATACCATTTATCAGCAGAACTTGTTACAATCCAAGGTAAAATTTAAACTTGTTCTTAAAAAGGGGGTCACCTGTCTACCCAGCTTCATCTGACTGCTGTTCTTTCTTGTCGACAATTGAATTTGCAGTTTAATTTGCATGTTCACTCACTTCCCCTGTGGCCTTTACTAAGGAAACACTTTACCTTCTCAATCAGCATTTTCCTCTCAGCCCCACTTGAATGACACATCAGTTCTGTGACCGGTTGCACTCCAAAAAGATACTGCCTACTCTCCAGTTTCCTGCCATGTCTTCATAATTACAGTGTTATCGAGGAGCTGAAAAAAACCAAAACAACTAATACAGCCACTCAACTACCTTACTCAAGACTCATTGACATTTGACAAACCAAAAATTTTCAGAAGCCAGAAGTTATCCTCAAAGATCTATTCCAGACAGTTTAAAAGATGTGTTAACACCCTAGTTAAAATTACTGCAGCATCTGCTTCTTTAGTAAGGCAAGAATACTGATGATAGTTAAAAACCTCCACCTCTTTAAAGTCAACTGAAATGTAAAATGCCTCAAATAATCATGAGCTAGTAAGGCTTATAAAAGCATCTTATTTGAGCACATCCTTTGCAAAATCATCTAATTTTAAACATATCAGTATTGAAAAAAATCCACCTTTGCAAATTGGCCCAGTACTTCATTATGCTTAGTGCTAAAACAAATCCATATTTTTAGTTTGAATTCATCTATTTTCATTTTCTTACTGCTTTAAGATTCTATGTCTGTTAAATTTAAAGCTCGTATTTCATATGTATGCATTTACTAACCAAAACTAAATTACTCTTTAACCATCAAGTTAATCATGTTGAACTCCTACACAGCTTTCCTTCTTTTTCCAGTACTTTATTCCTATAGCTCTTCCCTGGGCCTTCTCCAGTCTCTCCCAAACTAGAGTTTTCCAGGACTGGTTACACTAATGCAAACAGAAACAAGATACACATATATTTTAACTGCATGACAGCCTCTGATCACAAACAACTTTCTTCAGCCAGGCACCAAGTATGGATGGCTGTACGTGTAATGCGTGTACTTTCCCAGCTTTAACTCACTTTTTCCTTGCATTTAGGTTCTGGAAAGACATGGCAGGAACTTTGGTTATTTTCTCCCACGTGAATAGCTTCAAATCTCTGCTTGTATGGCTGTATTTTGCAAAGCAAGCCAGGCTGTTTTACAACAGTAATTGACATATACTTTTACAAGTTACCCATCACCTTCAAGCTGCTTGGGCTTTACCTCAACATAGGAACGTACCAATCCACTACCATGGAGTAAAGCCAGAAGCTAGTTTGCTAAGACTCAATGGCCCTTACTTGCAACTGAATGGATTAGAGATGTAGGATGGCAATTTGTGTTTATTTTTTATTACTCCTTATGCTTTAATACTGTAAAGATATTAAGACTCTACCCTTGCGCCACTATCTGGCCCTTCCCAAGACCCGGTTTGTCAGGAAGCCATAAATCACTTCCCTGACAACACCCTGCTTCCTAAAACAAGGTCACTATCCATTACTCCCTACCCCCAGTATACACAGCCAAGGGCTCCCTTTACACAGTCCCCCAGTCTCTGAAGAGTCCAGTTCCAGAGCCATGAATTACTAGAAAATGCAACATTCAAGTCAATGAAGATCTTTCAGTCACAAAGCAGGGATTCAAGGCAAAATTATTTCATTAGGTCTCTCAGTGCTTTTCAGACTGGTTGTTTTGGCTTTGAGGAAGACATAGGCAGTAAGTTACACACAGCACACAAATTAAAAGCATGGCTTATGTGGGAAAAAACCCAAAATGTGACAAACCAGCTGAGGCCTAGGTTCCCAGGGACGGTTAAAAGTTGCCTGTGATACAAGCTGCATCACATCCTTTCAGAGGAAGCTAAACCCTTTTGTCAAAGTACTTCTTGAGAAAATGCCCTCCCACTGAAGGAGAGCCCAAAACTGCTGCAGCCAAATCCATTTAGGGGACAAGGCAGTCACAAAGCTCTTCCCAGTAGCCCCTTCAAGCTGACAATGAAATGGCTGAAATGCTGCTTCTGACTGAAGGACACCAAGCATTTTTGTAGCAAGGTGGGATCACAGAATATCCTACAGCATATCCTGAGCTGGAAAGGACCCACAAGGATCATCAAGTCCAACTCCTGGCCCTGCACAGGGCTTTTACTTCAGTTTCAGTTAATGTTTTTAACATAGTCACATAGAAACCCTGTAATCTTTGGGATACTGAAAACCTAAATTTCCACTGACTGACAACAACAAGCACTAAACCATTCTTGATGGTTATTGCCATAGTGCTCTTCAGTAAACACCCACTCTGGAAGATTTACATATATTTAAATATTATCCTTCTTCCTTCCCTCGCCCCCCATCTGGAAAGAATTATTCTGCAACTCAAATGACAATCATTTGACTCATACTAAACAACATGTAACCAAGACTGTCAGTAGATTTATACCACATCCTTTAGGTGTTTAGTTTAGTTTCACATAGTGAAACATCTAATGGTTTTCGTAATTTTCAACAGATAACTTGAAATTAGCCATACTACAAACACAGCAGTAGATACAGTTTAAAATAACACTTAACTGATTTTTTTCTGTGCTGTGAAGAAAGGCCTCATTATATGCAGAAATAAAATATGCTATTTAAGGCATATTTAAGCATTTGATTATTTTTTAGGATTCTCCCCCCCCAGCAGAACATTATGCAAAAATCAATAAATATTATCTTGTTCTAAAGACACAGCATGGTTATTCCAGGAGTAAATTTGGAACAATATTTAACTTCAATCTCATCCTATAGTGTTTCATGCACAGTTTCCAAAACAAATAAATGAGGCACTGCTTTTGTGTGTTGTCCCCACCACTTTTTTTTTTTAACTATAATTTTTATTTAAATAAGACACAGGAACTTCTATACCGAAAAAAATACAAAACAAAAGCCACACATTTCCTTGTGTAAAGCAATATTGTGTGATAACTTGAATACTGTTCAGCACAGTAGCTAGAAATAACAGTACAACTATGTACAAAACTTTAAACAATATTTGACAAATTTCTACAGCTGCATGTAGAATACAATTGAGAGAAACAACTGCTGGGAAATTTACATGACAAAGCATTAGCTTTAACACATTTGGTTCAAAACCTCCAAATCTGCTAAGAACAAATGTGCAATTTAATTAATATTTAGTTTCTCGTGGAAAAAATATAAAGAACATGTTATGGCATTGCAAATATTGTACAGAGTTCAGCACTGATCTAAAAACCACTCATCATATCCCCTGGTAACCTAACACCAATAACTGAGACTACGATTTCTTATCTGGACACAACCAGAGCATAAAAAGTTCATCATACTGCAATGTTAATCTAGAAAGAAAAATATTAAAAGGAATCGATACTTAGGAGTATTTCCTACCCTTTATCTTCAGTCTATAAAATATATAGTGTTTTCACCTAGGCCTGAGATTAGTAGGGTTAAAGATGGCTGTTGTGTTTAAAGGATTTTCACATGAAAATGGTTAGAGACCTCTTTCTCCTACTATATTTTCTGAACGGGGAGTCAAAAAACAGTAACTGCTTTGTAGGCTGCAAATTCCACCTTTTAAGATAGCACAAACAAAAACTCAGTAATAAAAAGAAAGCAATGCTTTGTCTCCAAAGAAAGCACATATTTAGTGAGTAGTAACTGGTGGTTCTCACCCCCCCCAACCTCATCTTCAGAAAAGGAAAAGAACATAAAGGAGCAAGTTTAAATGCTCAAGGAGCTGCAGGCTACTAATCTCTTCAATTCCTGGAAAAGGTGAACTTTATTCTCTTAGGAGCAGACAGCATAAATGTAGTTCCACTGAGCTGAAAGCAACAGAGCAAGAACATCAAGTTATTTTGCCTTTGGGGTTCTCTTTGTATCACAGGAAATTATCTCTGACAGCAATGCTCCTTTTTCTAGTACAATAGAAGAGCACCACGAACCTGATCTTGCCATGTACTACTTTGAAAAAGTGTCCAGCCTGCAAAACCAGGATTATTTCACATGGATTTTTCTTTTATTCAGACTTAAGGAGAAGGGAAAGCACACTTTTACACACAAAACTCAAGTAACTGAAAGTTATGGGAGAAGCTTTAAGTAACATGAACTTAAAACTATTCTTTTCCCCACCCCTCTTAGAACACCCACTTGCTACTTTCGGACTTTAATCCAAACACAATTACTCACTACATAAATAAAACACTGCTCATCTAACACTGCTTGACAAAATCTGAAAACCTATTTCCAACCAGCAAATGAATGAACATTTCCAAAAGAGAAACTAAACATTAATTTGACTTTTAGACGGTAACAGTAGCATTTCACATCCTTAACTGCCAACAAAAACCATGAGAGGAAATCCCCATCAACCCCTGTGAAACCTGAAAGCATTTCTGTCCTTGAACAAAAACATTCTTGTCTTTCAAAATCCTCTCACGCACAATGTGGAATGTTTCTCATGTACAGCCTAGTACTGAACACTTTATTTGCAACAGTTTAACAGTCATTAACTGAGCAACACCTGAAACCTTTAAATGCCACATTTTTACATCTATTGAAATGACAGTAAATGCAACAGTTGTTTTACTTGTAAGCACATGACAACGTGATATACACCACAGATTTGCTGGTTCTCCTCATGTTCACCCATGTCCAGGGTCATTGTTCACCTGGATCTGAATGCACTTATTCCAAGAAAGTGGAATGTAATGAGGAAATATTAATGCATAAAACAAGGAAAGGCAAAAGAGTGATGTTCCCTCTTTAGCTTTGTAGCTGTAAAATATTTTATATTCCAATATGATATACATTCCAAGTTACCTGAGTTTAGACTTCAAGAGAAGTACCTGAAGCTAGGCCATAGGGTGGGCACTGTGCAACTGTTGTGGCCATTTTTTTTTTTTTTTTGCATTGTGTGTATTACAGAAGTTAGAAACAAACACCTGGATCAATTGTAAACATAATCCTGAAGTACAGTATTTTCCATAGGACACAACACAGCAAGACATTTTCTATTCAGACAGGCAACATTTTTTTTATATATATATAGAGAGAGAAAGAGCTTATTTATACTGTAGAATTTGAAACAGAGCACAGGACACAGTACTAATCTGGTCAAACGTACTATGAAATGCATAGTCTCCACTTAAAACGCTTAATGATATATGGATTCTGCAGGCATTACTGCTTTCTCACAAAAAATGCTGAATACGGATTCTGTCCCTGCCAAGAACAGTGTTGAGATATTTTTTCGAGTGCTGCTAAGCATTCCGTGTTGTTCTGAAAGGTTGCCACCTCATGCAGATGTATCTGAGCTACGATCTCCCCAATCCTTGTTTCGGGGCAGAGGCCTGCTCTGCCTTGTCTAGATTAACACGTAGCTCTGAGCAGAGGAATGGTCTTCAGTCTGAATTTCTTGCAAAAGCGGCTGCTGCTGCTGGGACGGCTGCTGTACCGGGACCTCTGTGGAGTCCATTGTGCTGGTGTCATCTGACAGAGATGAGAAAGAGACCCGAGACGAAAGCTGCTCAACAGTCAGGGTGCTCAAAGCTGTGCTTTGACCAGAGTTTGGAGAGCTCTTCAGCGTCAGGTCTGAAGCAGGAAGGAGGGGGCCCAGAAGTTTTACAGGACAGAAAGCTGATCCGGTTGGGATGAAATTAACCTTGTTTTTGTCAGGACATGAAAAGAGAGGGGTTGAGACAGGCTGACGAGACCTACAATGAGAAAAAAGATTATATATCTGGCCGAACGAGATGTTTTTTACATCACGAACTTTGTGGTTCTACATGTTGCTAAAATGTGAATGACGAGGAATGGGATTAATTGGACAGAGGGGCAAACATCTTCCATATTGGTAGTCAGCTAACTGATCCACAGCATTAAAAATAGTACAGTCACAAAAATGACTTGATAATTACTGGACAAACATGCAACCTCCAGCGAGAGAAAAATCTGCAGTACATATGCACATGAAAAACTGCAGTAATTTGGAATGGCACAAATTCTTCTTTGACAAAAGCAATGCAGCAACAACACATTTAGCCATTTTAAATCCCTTTAAAAACCTCCATAAAATAGACCTCTCCTTTCTCATACTCCATAATTTATTTGGAGGCTTTCTCCTCAACCCAACACTGCTCCTTCACCATCCAGCAGGCAACGAATGCTGTCAGAGCAAGAAACATCCCCTATTTAATTCTTTCATCCACAGGAGCTAAGCATGCAACCTCGACAGCATGTGCTGTGCTCAAATACTGCTGGGTCTAGGGGAAAAAGACATGATGTCCAAGGGTGTAATTTCCAATTTCTTGCTCAGCAAAAATATTGAGCAAAGTCTATGTCATAAGCATACTACCATCTACAAACCCTTTACATATGTTTCACTTCCTTGTATATGTTTTATACGCATTAAAAAATGCAGCCTATTCGTGAAACTGATAATTATGACAAGGAGAGTTTCTGTTTAAGCCATAAAAATTTAAAATCTTATTAGAAATATACGGAAAGAGGTTTATAAATGTTTAGGAAATTAATGTACCTTATTTTTTCTGCTTGGAGTTTAGTTGCCTTTTATAAATGCACAAAAAGAGTTAAAAGATTCCATTTCCTCTTCAAACCAAAGTAAACACTTCAACTTCTCTTCTGTACAAACTCTAAGAATAGTTTGCTCCTGAAAAACCCATCAGCTGGAATAGTTTATTCATCTGCAGTTGAATAGGCTCAGTAAACAGGTTTACTGCTTTGCAGATACCAGCTGATATAAAAGGCATTACTTACGACATTTCCTCAAAGACCTTCACTCGCTCACATCCCTCTGGGGGCTCTCGTTTGAACATGTAGCTGTTGTTTGGTTTGGGAGATGAGGCATACTTGGGCAACGGTGAGCTACTCCCACTGTCTGAAAATTTAAAGCAGTTATATTACTAGAGATTGAGAGTGCTTTTTAATTAAATTCGATTTCCAAACAAGATGCCTTTTTTCACAATTTAGCCACTACGCCGGCTTGCTTCTACCACAACGCTTCCTTTATTGCAGGCTATTTCTAACACCCTTGTATAGCACACTTCTTCTGAATAACAGCTTCAGTGCAGCGGTAATCTATCATACAACAACACGTAACAGGAGGATATTTTTATCCAGAACACTGCAATTGGAACAAAGCAGAGCTGTGATCCTGGAAACAAATACATTCTTTATTATGTAGCTCAAAAACCATAAGTGAACAGGGTAATATGCATAATACATGCAGAAGAATTATGAGTGGTAATGATAATATGCCTTCTCACTGGATAAACAGTGTTACTGAAAATGTTTGTATACAACATGTATCTTATTTTAAAAGAATACTTCACTGGAATATTAACCTCATTAGTCTCATGAATAGTTCAGAAGTTGCAAAGAAACAAAGTATGTTCGTAACACAGGTACTGATACCTCATAATTACAATGTCCTACCTTACTTGCTTCATATTGTGAAGTTGTTTTAATATCCAAAATAGAACTTCTACAGTTTAATTCCCTCATCACTACTAGCTATATGATACAGGTATACTTCATACATCCAGTTGTCTGTGTATATTTTAAGACAAACTTAGATAACTTAGGACAAAAGGCAATGGGCAGATTTATTTGTACTCAGAAAACGTAAGAGAGAAAGCTCAAGTCTGGTGAAGCACAAAAGTTTGAAATATTAAGACTATAAAAGGACTCACTTTAAACAGTCATGCTGACAACACGATAGTCAATGCATTAAGGAAACAAATTAGGTACAAAAATATTTATAGAAAAATAGGTTTCCGCAGTAGCTTCTACCTTTTCAAAGAGCAACATCTATCTCAGGCTAGTACTAGTGGTTCCCTATTCCCTGCTTGGGATTACAATGAAAAAAATGAAATAGCAAAATTAAAGCGGATCTCCCAACTTACTAACACACTTTAACTGCTCTTGCTTTATGTCCTTTTGAGTCTTTCCATCAATCTGGGGTACCTTACCATTTTTAACTCAGTTTATGTTTACTTTGCTGTTGTGCATGTGTATTGTGCCTTTTCAGCAACAGTGGAAAACCAACCCAAGCTTCAATGACTATGATCTAGTTTCACTGAAGTGTACAAAGTTGTCTTTAACAGTTTGCAAACAGTAGCTCCATAAACTTTTGTATTACCATGACTCAAATATAAAGACTAATCTTTACACATGTTAAAACATTTCTGCTTCCTCTCACAAGAAACAAATCAACTCAAACATCACACTCCCCTTTGAAGATTTACTATGAAAGATATGAGAAGGAAAAAAAAAAACCAACAAACTGAAGTGAACCTCAGCAGTGTATTGATTATTCAGCTCTTTCCTGCCATAGAGTGAATACAGAACTTCTATTTACAGAATTTTCAGTGTTAACTATGAAGGCAGAAAACACTTAGAGATGATACAGATATTTGCCAAGTTGGGAGCATGATCGTCCTGTTGGCATCTTTCCACTGTTGGCCCACACAGCTCATTCCAAACACAGAAATAATTAACAGAACCCAGACAGTTTGTTTCCTCCTTCTAATATTTAAAATTGAAGATCCAAGTTTCTATTTAAAAAATTTGAGACATAAAATGCACTACTGTTCATTCCACCAAATAGCGGAAAACCATGGCAGCACATCCAAGGGAAGAATCAAACAGAATTTGAAGTTAAGTCAGTTCTTGGAAGATTCAGAGTCTTGTCCACTAGCCAGTTCAGCTTTCAATCAAGGTTTTCGTTTAGTTAGCCCTGTCTGGCTGAAACCTTCTAGACAAGACAGCTGCTAAACAACTCTCTCTCTTTACTCTCTCTGCTTTTAAAGTTTGCTAAGCTGTTAGACTTTCATTTTGACCAAATGCATTGCATGCCACTATTCGAAACACACGTGTGGTTGTCAGGAGGCTCACACGTACACACTGGCTGTTGGTCCAGCACGTACAGCAGCAGTGCGAGAGCAGAAGGGCACTGGGAACACAGGCCTCGAGTTGAAGTGGCAAGAGGTGGAACTCACAGCTTAACCCAGCCTCCACTTGTGTATCCTGTAAGCTCTTAAGCGCTACTCTGTCACGTTATTAATCTTTAATGACGCTGTAAATAAATGTGTGTTGTCCAAGTGTTTTATGTGCAGGTTTGTTACTCTCTGTGGCCCCATGGCCAAGCCCTCAGGCCAGGGCCGTGTCTGCGCCTCGTGGCTCCCGTCAGCAGGGGGTGCCCTGCGGGCGCGTTCCATGCCCCCCATCCCACCTCATCCCGCTGACAATGATTGAACATTAACAGATGGAACCTTTAACAGAGTTTTGTTACCACAAACACACAGCAGACAATATGGAGCCCTATCACATGGAATTTCTAAACATAAATATTTTAAATGGATATACTCTGTTATCTAGAAAAGGTTTTAAGATTGTCATTAAAACACTAAAAATACTGTATTAACCAGAACACTTAATACCCGTAATTATAGCCTGCATATTTTAGAACAACAAAGGAGGCTAACTAAAAAAGAATCTGTAAAACATTTTTTTAAATGACAAAACTTTAAGGAAACAAGAAACTTTGCCAGTGAGCACACTGGGATTTGTTTTAATAGGTTCAAAAATACCTTTGCTTTTTAAGACTATTCTAAGACTTAACTAACAACCTTCATTTAAAAAACTATGAATCAGATGCCCAGAATTTAACAAGTATCTTCAGATCATCTTCATGAATGTGTTGCTTGTAAGAGCCTACTAGCAACAGTGAGAATACACAATGCACCTAAAATGCACACAAAAGCACCTAAACCGAAAGCCCTAAAAAAACAGGTCATACTATATATTTTTGTACAAAAAAGCTCCTCCAAATTTCATCCTCTTATAACTTTGGATGCTTTGAACTTTACCTCTGCCACAGCTGCTGAGCATGCTATGCAGTGCTCTGAATTGTAGTCTCATGGACCAGAATATCATAAAACAGATCTAGTGAAACCAATAGCTTTAATACAAAATCATACAGCCAGGTGCCATTAAACTACCTTCTCTCCTCTAATCAATACTGTTCAGTATCACTGCTCCATTCAGAACAATACCGTCTGAAAATTAGCTTTCACTTTCTTTTGAAAAACTCAGTAATTTTGCAGCTTCTTGCACAAAAGGTAAACCCAACAGCTGATACGGGTCGGAAGGGCAGCTGTGAGGGCCTCAGGCCAAAACACCACTTTGCACAAGAAATAAAAGATGCTTTAGGAATGTAAAGCAGCGCTGTGTCTGCACAGAGCACTGGCTCCTCTCACTGCTCATGTCTTTCAGTTAAACTACTAACCTTCCTCTCCTATTCAGCAAATCACCCAGAAGCATTATTAGCACTTGGTAATGCCAAGTTATTCTCATAGAAAGGAAAATAAAAAATCTTGGGGTCAAAACATCTACATTTGGTTACACAACAGCAAACTCACTACAATTTTATTCCAGCATCACAAAACCCTTTAAAATGAAGGTCTGAAAACCTTCACAAGTTTTAGTCTTATAAAGCACTTAACATTCACAACAAACGTAATAAACTGTCTCTCAAAATTTGCTATTCCCATATAATTTCTACCTGTATGCCTCATTTATCTGTAATTTAACTATTTTGAAGATAACATTCTTATTCAGAACAACTGGCCTTTGGGATCTTGACAACCTGAGAGTAAAAGGCATCTTTCTGACTATACTTTTATAACCTCTGAACAAATTACTTTCTCTCAGAAAACCGCACCATGTTTTCCTAATTTTTACCTTGCCTTTAAAGACCTAAGTTGTGATGAGCAGTTCAAGTTTTTATCTTTCATACACACAATAGTAAGTACCTTACTTAAACTAATTTAAAAATGCCATTATCATGACTTTACAAAGCTGGCTGTTTATCACTGTCACCTACACACTACTACTAGAGTAGACTTTTATACAGGCCCAGAATTAAAGCCACCCTTAAAACTGAAATCCACAACGAAGCAACTACTCATAAATTTTACTCCAGTTAGCTGTTCAAAAAATCCAAGACAGGAAATAAAAACCCTTGAAAAGCATTAAGAAGGTTAGATGCACTATTTCAAACTGTCTTCACTTGCTACAGCTGATAGTGTACCACTGAAAAATTCTATTATTGTGATAACATAGTACTAACTGCAAAATAAATTTTTCATTTCCTCACTTTTTAACTTATATTTGTTATCAGGACATATATGAACCAATTTATCTATCAAGACAGATTTTTGTGTGCTAATACTTTAGTGGATGTCTCTATAGTGATTTGGTCTTGACAACACATTAAAAATCACGTGTAGTATAAGAAAGAAGTAGGGTGGGGAGGGAGCTAATATCACTGTTATTTTTGGAGCATGGCCAACTATAATGTTGATCTAAGACTTTTACTTTAATGTGGTTAACTTACACACTTGTACACACCCACCCTCAATTCAAGATTTGGGCAGATGGATTTGTTTTCATTTTGTCTTTTCAAATCCAAGACAGGAAAATACTACTTTTCATAAACCAAGAAAAGCTAGTATTTCTCCTGACTTCCCCAATCTTATTGACAAATTCCTTTAAGAATTATTCAACAGATAGTATTTACAAAAAAGCTTAACCTCACTTATAGCCTCAAAATACTGTTGTCTTTAATTCATTTGTAAATCTATGCTAAATCTTAAAATTTTTCATTTCCTCTGTGAAACTTATTACTCTTAGCTTGCATGTTTTACCCAAATTCTCCATCCTCCAAATTAAAGCCCATGTTTCAGCTAGCTGACCAGAAGCACAAGGGTCATTTCATTAGTAAACAGTTGTCCAAAAAACCCCAGTCTTTTTACACCGGTGCCTCTATTTTCACAATACATGTTCTGTCAGTAACTCTTAATTACTGGAACACCAGTTGTACTCCCTCTATAAAACCAAAGAACATTTTACAGACTTTGAAAAACAGTACAGCATATCGACATATAAACACATAAATTATTCAGAATTTCTGAGTTGTTATGCAACATACATAGAGAAGTAATTACTCTCCATCAGGTTGTTCAAACTCATATCTGAGCTTCTCACCAAATAGCTTCAAGTGGAATGTAAGAGTTCAGAAGCAGAGTATTTTTAAAAGCAGTCCAAAACTTCATCACCATTCTGAACAGCAAGTAACTCACCCACGATGAATATACAGTCTACCACAAATCTTCTTGAAACCTTTTTTAAACATAAACATGTTACAGTCTGAATTCTTCACGTTAGAATCTTCATAAATAGTTAACTGTTTGCTGTGCTCCTCTGACGTATTTATGGAAGATGTTTGTGAAGTTTCACAAACAAGAGGGAAAAAGATATGTAAACAAACAAAACCAATTTTAAGATAAATCCTCAATCCCTCCACAACCATCAAACAAAAACAAAAACTGATGTAATGAGTAAAATGAAGGTAGTTGTAAAAGCAGGACATCACATGCCTCCCATAGATAAAGGCAGGCCATTCTACTCTCACCTTTATCACGGTCATAGAGTAAATCTTCCGTTGAACAAGGACTCCCATCCTGAGATTCAGGAGGGCAAAAGGGAGAGACACATGGTGAGTGACTGCTGCAGCTGCTGCTGCGCTCCTGGACAGACGGAGTCTGAGTGTCAATGCTTCGTGTACTACTACTACGATAGTGAGCAGGTAATGGGGCCCTTCGACCATCAGGGATATCCAAAGGCTGCAAGAGAAACGAAGCAATGCAGGTTACAGAGAAAAGATCAAACTCATAAGCAATGTCAGCCAGTAGCACCCGTAAATGAAGGCCTTTAAGAACAACAAGCCATTTTTCAAAGAACAGCAAGACTTTACACAAGAAAATAACACAGTGTGCAATGGACACAATATACATTAATTATGCTGAATTCTGGGACAACGTGCACATGTTCCAAGGCAACTACATCTTCTTAATGCAAAGTTAACACCAAAATGCCCTTCAATACAGGCTAGTACTTTGTTTTTACGTTGTTTCTGATAATTTAAAAAGTCAAACCTCACCAACAAATGCTTCTAATTATACTTAGTAATACAATTTTCAATAAAAAGGTCACTGTTATTCTAAAAGAAAAACAAGTACCCCGACAGAGAACACATTTGGATAAAAGGAAACAGCAGAAAATGTCAAATACAATGATATACTATTGCCATGACAACCAACTGAAATACAACTATAAAAGAAACCATCCACGTTTTGCTAGTAAGTCATAATTCTCTAGCACAGCCCTACATTCCATCCTTCACTTCTACAGATGATGCACACACAGGCTTATAACAAGGTTCTCAACCTCTGTCTTGAACCAAAGCTAGTAAGCTCTGCCTGCCCACATCAGCATAGCTGGCACTGGCCAGAGTGATATTGCATCCCATTCTGCAATATACTGTGTAGACATGTTCACAGCAGCAGATTGGCACGCTCTACTTACTTGTCCTTCCTAGTGGAAAATTAGTTTTTATAATGCAGACAGTGCTGCTTTAAATGAAAGAAATCAAATAGGAATTATAGTTTTGCTTAGAAGTGAAAGGGAAAAAAATGCCTGCAAGATTTAAACATAATTTTTATCCTCACTTCAGTGAGGATTGTGACCAAGCCACAGAGAACATGTGGCTAGAACAGCTTAAATGTTCTAGCTACAAAAAATTAATGTCTTTTTCCTTCTCACTTCAAGAGAACATTTTTATTTTATTGCCTTCCTCTTCCCCATATATTCTAAAACCATTACAGCTTGTTCCAGAGCCTAAAATTCAACCCAAGACTTTTGCCAGCAACAAGGACATGAAACCTATTGGCCAAGTATCGCATTCTCCCCTTTTCAGCAAGTCTATCCAGAAAACCACCACATATTAAACAAAAAGGCACACATAGCAGAGCAGGAAGATCATTTTCCTCTTATGAGCCTTCCAGTTAATACCATTTCATATTTCAATTAAGAGCAAAGAAACACACCATAAAGAGAACATTACAGTTCCTACATCAAATGCTGTAAAGTTTGGGCACAGCTGTGTGGTCTGTTCCAACAGCTCAGTTCACATTGCATATGCGTTACAACATGAGTACATGTTGCTATTCCCATCACCCCCAACAGGCCATGACTCATTTAATGCACAAGAAAGACCTGAAGCATACATTGTATCATTTGTTACACGACAGAAGAGAGGTAAAAAACAAAACTGAAGCTGTAGAAAGAAATTAGTCTTATAATTATCATAACAAAAATACAAACCTGCTATGCAGAATAGCATTTTTATTTCCATCTCTGCCACAAAAATTTTGTGCCACAAAATTTTTGTGGCAGAGAATCAACTGGATTTTTCTGAATGCCCACTTTATATAGGTCTGATTTGCAAAAGTCTTCTGTGTTCACAGATGCAGAAGGAAACTATGGGAGCTGCACCTTAAACTTCAAAAAATGGGATGCAGTATCCTACGTTACCTAAAGAGCCACAGTATAGAACCCTGATGGATTTGTGTTTCTCCATCCATAAAGTGTATATAATATCTTTCTTCTCACACAAGTAACGTAAAAAAAGAGAACAAAATTTCAGACACTCTCCTATTATACAGAAGCAAAACCTCATAAATTTAGATTTCTGACTTCAAAGGAAAGCTTAACAGTAAGCATGAGGACACGAATCTAATAAGGAGAAAAGAAAAACACCAAACAACTGCTCATTAAGGGCAAATACTATGCTCTACATAATAGGTAAAGCAAGGATTCCAGGCAGGGGGAAAAACAAAAAGTAAGTGATCACATAATTAAAGACTTTAGGATAACACAGATGTTCTTCCACACCTGGATGAACAATGTAATCTTAGGTATTCAGGAAGCATATCCCAAATAACATATTTCAATCTCCCCTCAATTAAACCCTGAAATACAAAAATACTCCATATTTTTAGACATGTATCTAAATATACACGCAAGTAAAAAAAGCTAAATATTTGTCATTCTTTCCAACTACAATAAGTTTTAAGGCATAGAAAATGCCAGTGAGTATTTCAGATTACTGTGCTTTTGTATTTATTTTTCCCTTAATATTGAATCAAAATTTTGGGAAGTGCAAAAATCTCCATGAAAATACCAACTAGAAGTATTTTGCTTGTTAAAAATTTTATGCAATAAACCCAATCAACATAAAAAAACCCACTTTCAAAGTTAATTTCCATGAGTCATGCCCAAACTATTGTAAAACTAAAGTTCTCACAACCTTACAACATCAGAAATCGGGTAACTCATTTGGTGCAGCTGTTATTAGTTTCCATAATGCCCAACGTATGGAAAACAACTAGAAATTACTGCATTCTATTGGTTTTGAGGGTTTTTTTGCAAGAATGTCTAGTCATGTACTAACCTTATGCCAAATGCATTCTGACAGGACACCTGTCAGCCCCTACAGGACAGTGTGTTCTTGGACACAATTACATACTGCTCTCGTCCCCCTGCAAAGGTATGGAAATGTTCCATCTGACAACAACATGCATTTCTGAATACATTGTTAATATTCACCACCTCGTTGTCAGTATCAATGTTTTTGCTGGAAAAAAACCAAGAACACCCAACTTAGGAGGAACATCAGGAATGCTATAAGGATATACCACTGGAAGCCTTAAAAAAAATCTGCTCCTCACAAGCTGTACATCTATTTTGGACACAACTTCTTGAGAGCAAAGCATTCAATGCTTTTGATTTTAAAACTTTCCCCTTTAACACAAAGGCAGACACAGGAAAGTGCTTCTTCCTACTGGCATCAGTGAAGCCATCAATGCATTAGATGAGGTTGCAAGTGCAAAAACCATAATGCATCCTGGGAAGGAACCCTTGGAAAAAACTCAGACTTCTCAGATGAAGGCTATGAAGATTTAAGTAAAGGTCCTCTGCATCTGTGAAAATTAGAAAAAGTCCTTTTATTACAGGATTAAGTTTTCTGATAGGTTCACAAAACCATCTTGTTATCTATTTCCAGAAGCACTAGAAAGCAAACAAGGAAAACAGTAATCATTTTACTTCTGTTGTGTGACAGTCCATCAAAATTGCCTCATTTCTAGTTATTTCTGTACACGTGAAAGATAATTCCAGTACTATGTTTTTCCTAATAGGAGACCTATGAGCCCATGTTCTGCTACAGGGCACTTTCCATGATTTTCATAATGTATTCCATAAGAGGGAACATCTCTTATCCCCCAATCCCTATAATAAGGGAAATAAGTCCATCATCTTATTATACCACAATCCCCAGTGTTTGTGTTGTGGAGTCACAATGGGTTAGAGAACAAAAGCCTGCCACAACTTCACAAAGAGCTAATTCCATCTTACAAGTTATGGTGGGAACAGAGACACACCATCACAATTTTTCAATGTTAATCAGGAAACTACAAAAAAGGAAGGAAAATATATCCAAGAATTTTGAATAAATGCAATAAAACATGAATTAAAAGTATTAAAAGTTTATTGATAAATTTAAAAGAAAGAGATGATTAAGAAGTTACTCAATAAAGCCAACTTAGTTTTATGCAAGCAAAAACAGAACATCTTTAGCTAACTAAGCAAGATGAATTATCTGAAAAAATATACACATACCATAGCTAAACTGCAAAGACTAAAATATTTTTAATGTTTTGACCATTTACAATGCAATCCCTCTAAACCTGATGGTCAATTAGATTATTAAAAGGTAATGACATAATGACATTATTAATCGTAAACTATCTTTGTGAAACACAAAAATAACAGGACAATAATTTTTTTACTTTTATAAGTAGAATTTCAATCATCATTAAGATACTATTAAGAAAGCAAAAAAGGTTTCAAAGAATTATCAGAACTAAGTCAGCATGAGAAAAGACAGAAGACATTTTCAAATGAATCTATACATTTTTTAAGTAGGATTACAAAAATTCGAGTCAGCAAAAGGGAAAATAAAGTATGTAATGTCATGCCCTACAAAACTAAAAACAAATCTAAAAAAAAAAATTAAATTGATTTGCATATCTGAAGATGAAGCAAGCATGAAACTAGGAGGAAAGTTTAATTGGTTATCTATTCAAACTGGGAGCTAAATTCAAAAAGTAATTCAAGTAATAGCTATAAAACTATCTTTAAAACTGCTTTAACCTTATTTTTGTCCTATATATCACCTACTCTGATTTCAATATATATGAATTAAGAAACACTTTGTTAGAAAAAAAACCCTCTGTAAATTTATACTGAAGAGAGACTAACAGATAAAAAATTCAAGAACATTAAAGTAAAATTTTTAAAATTAACAAAGTTAAAATGCATTTTATTTTACTTAGGACAGCCCAAATGTGCTTATCAAAATGAAAGAAATCACAAAGTTACTAATGTAGTACCTAAATTTGAAAATAATGAATAAAAATTGAAAATTGGGTACTGAGCTGCAACTAAACTAAAGATATTATTCCTTCTCAGTGGTTTTAGCAGGTTTTGTGTTATTCCTCATATCTCTCCTGGCAAGCGAATACAGATTCATATTAGGGCACAAAGTGTTTCTGCAGCTAGATAGATCAATTCATATGAAAATTAAGGTTTGAACATGCACTGTTAGAACTGTGAAGTAAACGTGGAAACAGGCTAAAAGAAACCAGCTGAAAATGTAGATGCACACCCATCTTACAAGTGAGTCTATAGAACAATTTATCCTTCACACATCACCCAAAGCAATCAACTACCTTTGATTGCTCCTTTAAAATAGTTTCTAAAAATACAGAACATTACAGCAAGAAAGAATGGCAGAAAACTGAAAGAAAAATTAATTGTTTCACTAGCAGCGAAACTAATGAAGTTTGGTTTCCTATAGTTTATCTTCTGTTCAGTAATTCCTAACCTTTAACCTAGCTACCCCAACTCCCTCAGGCTAAAACACAGCTAAACTGTTGTATTAGGAGAAAGTTCACCAGCAGTAAGATTAAGTAAATTATGATCTTGTTATGATCCTCCATAAGCAAACTGAGAGCTAGTAATCTCAAAGACAGCACTAGGAGTCCCACTTTTGGTCCCACATGACCAGACTTCACAGAAATTAACAGTTACATAGCAGGAAACAACCCTCTGCCCACAAAGATGGACTTGACTTCAAGGGCAATGTCTGATTTATGACTTTCTTTTGTGTCTGACAACTCTTGCCAGCTAAATGTTTGGAGGAAGGGTTCACTATTGCCTTGGTTTCGTAAACTGCTGAGCACCTCTGGCCCAAATCCAACAATGCACTTAAGTATGTGCTTAACTGTTTTGCTGGATCAGAGTCAGTACATTCAGTAACACAGGAGAGCTCTGCATCCCAAGCAATAAGCTGTTAAAACCCAAGGACAACATTTACAAAGATGATCTGTCTGATAAATAAATGAAATATCCTCTCACTATAGGATGTTACAACCCTAGCCATAGCAACATCAAGTTCCACTGCAATACATACATTTTAATTCCCTCTTTGAAGATGGTGCAACAAGGTTTATTGATTTGGGCTTACCGTTTCAGTTTTCACATCTGATTTTTTTTCCTTATTCCCCTGTTATAATACACACCTCTTCTAAAGGAATAAGACAGCCACAGGAAAGCAAACAGCATAATACTTCTACTACAACAATATTTCATTCTTAAGACTGGTTTGCCCACACAAATAAGACTCTGGAGAAGCCAAAACTACTCCAAAACTTTTTAAGTTTACTACCAAAATGAAGAACTACAAATATCAGGTTTTAGAATCTTAAACCTCTGATTAAAGTTTTATAGCTTGACTCATATACTGAATTGCTATTACATGACCATTCATGAGAAAAGCACCTACACTTTGGAGAAGATTAGAAAAAACAGTGGAGTAGTTTATTCCACAGCAGAAAATTTTAATTGGCTATTTAGGAAGCAGTGGCTGTAAACCAAGTATTTCACATTTAAAGTGTCATCGAAGAACTAAGATCCTTAATGACAACTCTAATGCTCTAATGCAAAGCTGCCACATTTGTTAGTATTTCCCATGCAGAGCTCTCCCACAGGTTTCATGGAAGTAAAACGGTCCACATTCAGTTTATGGGGAAAAAAAAGCATTAGAACAAAAAAAATGAGAGCATAGCACAGCAAACTTATATCTTTCTCAAGAAAAAGAATGCAAAAAGAAGCAAATACAATAATCTCCTGGTCTCTAACTACTTATTACTGCAGCCTGAAGTATCTGAATTTTCAAGCACTTGCATTTTGCACAAAAACTTCCAAGTTCTCTACAGAAAGGGCATTCTGTACATTCTAAACAAAGTATGTTTGGGCAGAAGCCCTTTAAAAATAAAACAGAAAAACAAAAAAAAAAACCCACCATGCTAAAACATTGAAACAAAGTTTTCAAACAAACAGTTCTTTGAAGAAAATTATTTGTAACTTCAGCCAAAAGGAAAGTTTCTCACGAGGAAGGTTTTCCATGTGTTTACAGATTACAAAGAAAAAATCACCTTAAACATGTTACTATAAGCTTACCTTGGACACTTCTTCTTTTCCACTGTTCTCCTTAATGAATACTTTTTCCAGTTCAGGACTTATTCCTTCTACATTACACGGCACACGTGAAACAGTTGATTTTGGCACTGAAATGTTTGACAGTGGCATAGGGACTGATCTGGAAATACAAGCCTAGAAGGTAGAAGTCAACATGATTTGAAAATGGAAAATGGAATAAAGACATAAGTCTCAGACCAATGCTAAAAACATCAGTAAGAAACTGTGTATTAATTTTGCCATCTAGAAGATCACCTTCACTTGGCAAATTCACATAAAAACAAATGCCTGTATAAATCTAAATCCAATAAAATCACTTCTACTTAACTCACAGTAGTATTCTATAATCAAAGCATTCTACTACTTCACTCATCAGTAAGTAGACAGGTATATGCACTTTCCAGATGCACAGACTATGGAATACACCATAGGGGGATGGGGAGTATGTGGAGCGCTGGCGCTGATGTTTTAAGACAATCAAAAGGCATTTCATAACATTGCTAAAGCTTAACAACTCAACTGAAATATTCACTTAATGCACTTTTATTCTCTTTTGGTTGGCTTTAGCAAATGAAAACCAAAACATTCATTCATTAGCTTATAGCTTTTCAGAACTTTATGTCAAAGGTTGCAAGAGAAATCCTGAATTTAAGAATCAATCACATAAATAAATACAAATATGGTTTTCAGAAAAGCCTGTTGGAGCAGAGCTCTGTTACAAACAGAAAACATTCACAGGAGTGCACACACATCAACCTTGAAAGCTCCACCTTGGTGGCAGCTACACTGACAGCCGTGAACAGCGCTCGCTTGTCAATGTGTTCTCCTCTTGCACACAGAATCACAAGATGCTTAAGACGAAATGTAAAAATTTTTTCTGAGTTCTTATCAAGTGAACCTTGCACAATGTGCAGCTCCAAAGGTGAAAGTCATTTGTCTGCAAGCATTCTCTGACTCTGCCAACACACTGCCTGAAGGACAGCTTCACCAGAGAACACCTTGAGAAATCGAAGTGTTGCATGAGCAATGACAAAGTAAGCTCCAAGTACTAAGGAATGTTTCTTCATGGCATATGTTCTAGGTGGATTTCAATCTGTGGCAAAGACTGTTTGTACTGTGACTATAATGGCACAGGTACTTGCCACAGCTTACTTTGAAATGTAAAGCAAACCCTTTCCTATGCAAAATGTAGTAGAATCCCTTGTTATAAAGGCATAAAAGGTTCAGGAAGAATATAAAATTCCTATATGTCTTCATCCCAAGATCAGGTTTTAACTACAAAATTATATCCAAACAGAAGAAGGACCATAAAGGATCAGCCATCGCAGCTCAACCACTCCTTTATAAAACATCAGGTAGTTAAAAAGGCAGTCAGGAAGTAGGAAATACCAGGACAGAAGCAACATTTCAGGTGTTCAAACAGGGGCCTGTTAGTAATTGTGACGGTCCAATTTAAGGATCCAACAGGTGAAATTTCATCAGGCTCAGATGTCTGCACTGTCAAATGAGTCATGATTAAATGCTTTCTACAAGTGGCTTAAGATTCATGAAGTCATTGACTGAATCTTGCTTGAGCTTTGGAATTGTAATTGGGTTTCAGTTTTGCTGGCAGGTTGTAATGACTAGAGCAAACACTGCATTGGGCATTGCACCCTGCTTTGTTACCCTCTTTATTTTCTATTTTTACTTTTTAACTAGCCTAGAAGAAATTAGGTTGCCAATACCTTCCGGAGGAGCAGATACTTCTAAAAGTATACCACAAAAATCAGTCTTGAAAGCAAGTACATATTGCTGGAAGCACAGCCTTATCTGGTCACGCTCAGAATTTTTACAGCATCATAATACATTTCAGTTGCTATCCTTCTGCAACACTCCTTTTTTAATTATATGACAACCACCAGATAAACTTCAGCGAAGATATGGTAGCATCAGATCATTAAGCATTTTTGTGTGCCACACAAGAGTACAAACAGAAGACAGATGGGAAGGCTCACCAGGGCATTCTCCCAACCCGGATAAGGTAGGAGGCTACTTACCTGAGTCTGACTGATTGCTATATGGTTGCCATGGAGAGGTGACTGACGTTCTTTCTCTTTATTGTGACGGCTACTCTGCTTACTGCGCTGAAGCTGCTGCCTCAGTTTGGCAATCTGCTGGAAAGAAGTTCAGGTGAAGTGAGAATGAGTTATCGAATGGGTAACTGCTCAAATCTTCACATACAAAATGATTCATGGACATTTTAATTCTCTTTGGAGGATTTTATAGGCATATGGGATTGCCTTTCCTTGAAGCATGAGCATTAAAGCTTCTTTATGCTTATCAGATACTTTCTCCAAAGTATCTGCCCTATTCACCAACCTGAATACAGTTTAATTACTGAATTTTCTCATTTACACACAAGGACTGCAATAACTGGTGCAAACAAAAGCAGTAAGAATGACAATTTGTAGCAATTTCTGACCTATAACTGATTTAAGCTGGGGACTTTGAAGACTGCAGTTTAATTTACTTGATCTTAAACCAAACCAAAGTTTTTCAATAATAATTCATCATAAAAGCAAAGCACCTTCACAAACAACTGACAATCAAAATGCATTACTCATCTTAGAGACCTTATTTAATACATTTAATAGCATTTCCCTGCAGGCTAAATTATCACAGATTCCTTGAGACAGACAGAATTATCTTTTCTGCTGTCTGCTGCAAAGATATCTAATCAAAAGTTACATATTTTAAATGTCAAATACAACTAAAGACATTATCCATTTGACCTCCTCCCTAACAAGAAACCAAAGAATTTCATTTGGGGATTCCTCCACTCATTTATTCCTCCTGGGAAATTTCTACATGAAAGCAAGCATTTACCTCTATAAACATTGTCTCAGAATGTCTTTAGACTGTGTAAATTCACATAACAGGTACAGACTCTTCCTTAAAACTGGATAATTTGTTCCCTTGGGCTCAAATCCCACTGTTCCTCAGGCTCAGCACACTGGAATTATAAGGCCACATATGGCCCCATTTCATTTTTAACTCAGAAAGTGATACAATTTTTAAAAACCTGAAGGGCAAGTAAGGAGAATGAATGCACACGGAATTCATATGTCAAAGAACTTCTTCAGCTGGAAACTAACCTCTCTTTCTGAGTGACAGCTTACAAGTACACACACTGTGTGGTTAATTCAAAGTAGTTAAATATATCACTAGTACTCTTACAAAGCAACTCTGTGGTAGAGAATCACTTCATGTCACTCTTCAAGTGTCAGAGATGACAGTGTGGTTTGGATGGAGCTTTGCTCCAGGCTGTGGAATTTTCCTTGTGATGTTTCTGGTAGCACTAAAGAACAATCTACCTTCAAGGCTTCATATTGCCTCTTGCCACAGCTCATTACCCATATTCAGAGAACTGCTACTCAGAAACAGTTGAAAACTTTCATCTTTTAACAACAGACAAACAGTTCAGACTTCCAAAAGGGTCCGGGTATAAAACGCATCAAGAAAAACAGAGCTCTAATACAACTGAGTTACTAACACAGATGAGCTGCATTTAGAGAACTGGGCCATAATCTCTTGATGAAGAGTGCAACTCAAGCACCATGTTGGAAGAAACTTTGCAGTCTGAAGAGATATTTCATCTCTAAAAAAAATAAATTTGTCCAGAACTTCCCCATTCTCCCTGTAGGAGTACCAGCCACTATGAAACCTAACTCCATAGATGAAAAACCAAGCAGGTAATCAGTCTGGTAAGTATACATACATCTACAAATATTTATGTCTTACATTGGAACGTCGGAGAATGGAGAGAACTGGGAAATAATCTTCATCTTCCCCTTTAAAAACTTAAAAACAGAAGAGAAAAATGATGTCCAGATCAGAAGACAGCTGTGGATAGAGATGGCTGGCTACAAGAATAACCAGAAAGCACGGGGAGTGCTGTATATAAATCTTTCACTTCTACCGTGTCTCCTTAATGCTGAATACTTCCTCCTAGTAAAAAGTTAAATGCACTGTTTTCTTTGATTTAAATGAAATCTGGTTTCTGGGCTTTCCCTAGGAGCACACAATTAAAAAAAAAAAAAGCTACACAATTCCACCTCAGAGATCGGGCTGACTGATTTCTGTCACAAATAGCTTGCAAATCTTTGAGAACATAGCCTCTCACAGTACAATTCAGATAGTGAAAGCACTAAATGGAAGAGTGTTGATAGGCTGGTATGTCTCTAGGCTAGCCAAAGCCTTGAAGCTCTGATACTGTGAAAGGAATCATGGATCCCTGCAATTTAAGGTTCTCTCAGCTACCTCAAGACTATGTATATTTTGGCAGTCAGTAGGTTCTTGACAGTAACAGAGAGAAAAGAGTCATCCAGGACAAACAGAAAGATGAAAAATTGCTGAAGAATTTGACTGTATCTGGAACTGATATGATCACTTAAGCCAAACATGCCACGCAGAGAAGAAACAGATACGCCTTTTCAGAACATATGTCCTTAACCCTGAACTTGAAGGACCATGGATGTCCATGATGTGGTAGTTACCACTGGACAAAAAATGAGAAAGTAAAGATGGGCATATAAATTTCTTATTTATGCTCTGGACACGGGAGACAGAGGCTTGCCAGTACAGGCAACCAGCAAGCAGGCAGTGTCGCCGAGCATATGAAATCCTCTAAACTAAATGATGCTCCATCTCTTCATCAAGGGGAGCTCACGGTGAATCTGCCACTTGCTAAACATAATCCTGACATTGCAATAGCTTTTTTTCTTCTACAAGGCTACCTTTTAATTGCCAATTATTCTCTATCTCAAACTGAAATAAAGCCACTACTACTAACAGGAAGAGGTGCAGTAACGACACACTTCATTTTCACAGAGCAGCTAAAACAGAAAGGGCTTGGGACACCACTTCCTTCACACGCCCAAGTCCTGACCATGAATGTTACTGGGGCATATACAATAATATTAAGGAACACATGTAAATCACCACAAAAGATTTGTATCCTAAAGCATCCACTCGCAAAGACGTCAAAGCCTTACACATATGTGCACTTAGGTCCATAAAATATTACAAGTATTTTAGAGTACCAATTCAAATGGTCAGCCTTTCTTCTTCCAGCAACCATTCTCTGCAACGTTGCTCATGCATCGGAAAGACTCTTTTCTTCACCTACTTCAAAGTAATTTATAAAAAAACCCCAACAACAAAAATCCCCAAGAAAACACAAAGATTAGTGCATCTTATCAGAAATAAACCTACACAAAGTCATTCAGGGCACAAACTTTCAGTTCAGCTTTGATGGTTTACTGTCATACAGCCAAAGACAAGACGACCATCAAAGATTATTACAAAAACAAGTTAGGAAAAAACCCTATAAATATATTTTTTGCTTGCTGAATATTTTTACAACTCAAATGTACTTGAAATAAATACGAATTTTGTCTATGCCACTTGTAATATGCATGCAATGGAATATAACTAATGGTAAAAACCTGAGAAATAACCAAATTACCTTGGTTCTTTACAACACTGGAATAATCTGAATATCCTGGTAATTCTTCCCTTTCGAAGGGACCTAGATGCAGACTATTAATATAAAGGAACAAGTCACTCTCCAAATGCTCATTAATATTTACCAGTCAACAGGCTGTATTTCTCCCGGTGAGGCTACACAACATGGTAACTTCCTACTGCTGAACAAACCATGAACTCCTTGTTAATGAGTGAGCTCCATCTCATTCATGAGCCGTTTGTTAATAAACAAGTTAAAGAGTAGGTCAGAGAGCAAAACAAGCATTAGAAATTGACTGTAAACCTTTGAATACAATCTTTCAATTGGTATATGAAAGCACATAAGGTGTGCAAGCTCTCATATTGAATTCTCTTTTATTCCCACATCCTTTTCAAGTACTCTGTTGGAGCACAAGGGACCTTCCAATGGGGGGCTGCTGGTGTCCGTGTAACAGGTACAGCACACAGAGCTGCTTAAGGGAAGTGAAATATCAGCTGTCTGAAATATGTTTTTAAAAACCTATACAGAGCAAAAACTACTTGTTTTCAATAGTGGGTTTTTCCCAGTTCTGGGTAAATTCCAGTTCAGGGTAAGCTGTATCTAAAATTGTCCCTGAACAACTTAAACGGAATTTCAAACTAACTCTTCAGGTTGAAAGGGGAAAAAAATACCAGCAGTTCAAACCACTACTTGGTTTGTGTCCAGTACAAAGACTTGAAAGCAATCTCTATCTCCCAGTCAAAATGTGTATCTATTAAAATAATGTTAAAGCAGTTTGGCATTATCTTACGCAAGTTAACTCAAGGCTTCGTAAACTCAAACAGTTCACCCTTTAGAAAAAAACAAATTTTTCAAAAGTAGATTTTGTCAAGAAATTATTAAAAAGGTACACTCTATCATTACAAAGTTCATAGTGACAGCAGGGGACATTTAAATTTTTAATAGACCCACTACAGGAAAGCAAACAGTGCCTATTTCAGTGCTAGACAGATTCAATCCTAACACATACCTATTTCAATCAAGGGCAAAATAAGCTTCACTACACAAAGTGAAATTCTTTTTTTAGACGGTAATACAGAATTCATTTTCTTGCTTGGGATCTTAAGTCTATACAATACTCACTTTTAGTTTTTATAATGCAGACCTTTTTCAAAGAGCCAACCAGTTGTATTAAACAAATGTATTTGATTGTAATAGTACTCAAACTAACCAAGGAAAAAATTATTTTTTTAAACTTAAAAGCACATTCAATCTTATTTTATCAAACCCAATTAAAATTCTGTGTACAAGTGTTTGGCTAGTTTATGTCAGCAACATAATAAAAAATACATGCTAAAAATCACTCCATTAATTGCTGCAGCAAGAAAACATGAATCCAAACTCTAAAGACAAGCCAAGGAAACCATACACAGCTACCTATGTTTACTGTTGAATGCTATGGGAAACAATTCAAAATGCTGAGCAGAACACTCTTACCTATATTTGTTTGTTACACATAACAAATGCAGTTGCTCAGGAGAAGGTGACATTTTTATATCCATTACTTAAGCTCTTGCTTTCAGGTGTCCACAGCTTCGTCAAATTTTCTCTAAAGTCTACTATGCAATGTTCTGCTCTCCTATCTTCTTCACATCAAGAACTTCAGTACAAGTAGCAGAGGTGTTTTAAGAATGTGATTCAGAATGAAAAGGGGTCAGAAGAGATTTTTACCATTTTGCGTGCCAAAACAAATTATTGTAGCATTTTCCCTGAGAATCTCTGTTTTCCAATGCTTGGATGAAAAAGCCAAACATTTGCCTGGGGGTTCTTTATGCTGCAAAGGTCCCTTGGAAGAACGTTCGCATTTGGTGAAGCTTTAGCAAAAATTTCAGTTTGCACATGTTCAAGAAAGATGTCTGGAACTGGCAGCTACATTTGCTAGTAATTCTGTCTCTAGTGGGTTTTACAGTTTGAACACAACTGCCCCACAGAATTTATCCTTCCAGGAACTGAAGATTACTGTGGCACAAAGAAACTGAGTGCACAGATACTGTTAGTGTTGAACAAACTCTTAACAGCTCCCATCCCCCAGGTTTAAAGGTGAGCAAAAGGAAAAAGAAAGGGATAAAACAGAAGCCAAACAATGCAAAGACAGAACTGACAAGGAGCTGGAAAGTAAGAGAGTAAGAGCTCAAACAGGGGAAGGCAGGTGAGTATTGGCTGAATAATAAACACAGAATGACACTGGCACTATGAACTTGAGGAACTAGAAGGGCAAGAAAACTAGCCTGAGAAGCTGGAAAAAGGAAAACAGAGGAAGAGGAAGAACTGTAAGCTGGAGAACACAAGGGCAGGTTTGAGGGTAAACAACCGTTGCAAAGTTTGGATAGAAACAACACAACCTGTTTTGTCCATTGCAGTGCTCTATCAAAAAAGGGAACCATGAAACACATTGGCCACACATTTCTTATCTTTCTCTTGTGGTCAAGTACATTAAGGGGGTGGCAACCTAGCACAATGGGTCACTGTTATCAACTGGCAGAGACTTGCTCCCATGCTGAAGGTTTCACTATCACTGACAGCCACAGTCCTGTGGTGAAGAAGAGCTGCTTATTGCACAGCCTGATAGGGAACTGCCAGAATACGAAGGATTGCGTCTCAGTAAAAGCAAGGAAGTGTTATCCCAGAAAAACAGATGCTACTCTTGTCCATGCTATAATTTGTGCTGGTGGACTATTTTAAGTCAAGACTTTTCAGAAACAAAACTCCTTCTGCACTAATTTCTGGTCACTTCATTTGTGATTCTGAGTGCTTCCTCACAGCTGAAGTCATCCAGGCAACTGAAGGCCCATGTACCAACACATCAGGGTTTCGTTAGAGGTACTCAGTGAGACGGGAACAGATAACCCTCTTTGGATCAAGCTCTCTTTGGCCCAGCTCCTCATCTTTGAAAATGAGGCTATTGCCACCACTAGATTGCAAGATTATTCTGTATTTGTCAAATCTGATTTTAAAATTAAACTCCTTTTGACAACTACTCTTCCTATCAATGGCTTTCCAGAAGAGAACTATATACTGCCTCTAACATTATCTCCTTAGATATTGCTCTCATTTTTGAATGCCCTATTCAAAAGGGAGTCAGGAGAGAGGATGCAAGAAGCCCAGAGTACCAGTGAAAAGTTCCACCTCATGGGAACATGCTGCAAGATTCATTTTATAAAAAGAAAAGCACAGTTCTTGAAGAGAGGCTACATACTTCCTGACAGTGGCATGATGCCAAATGTAGGCCACTTATTAGGTTCTGGACAGACCTAGTTACACAAACTCTGGACAAAATGGAGGTTATTGGGAAAAACTGTAACACTGTCATTTCAGCTGATCTGGAGACCATTTTACTATATGTACTTTCTCATGATGCAAATCCACTTCCCTTTTGGTGGGTTCTTCCTAGTTGCAATTGCAGTCTATAGCAAAATATGTATGATTAAAGTGCTCATACCATTACTGTACCAACACTTTTTCATTTTTGAAAGTGGTGTCCTCTCTATCTCCAACCTAAAACTTGAATAACATTTCTAAACAAGAATATGCTAACATACCACATACCACCTTACACTCTGCCTCCTTCAGGAGAGCATCATTAAAGAACAGAAAGCTAATTAAGGTAACCCTGAACAGAAAAATTAGTAAGCAACAAGCTGGTTCCTCAATGCTCACTCCAACCACTCTTTCACAGCGAAAACTTCATAGTATGCAGGGAGAAAGTCCAACAAGCATAAAATGAGAATCACTCGTCAAAACTGCTCTTATGTTGGAGGTAAAATCTGTTTCAAAAGCAACAAAGGGGAGGGAAAGGGTGCAGTTTCCTGGACTCCAGATAGGGCTTAAGAAACGTCTTGGGCTTATCAAAACTTGAAAAGCTCCACTGTGCAAAACTTCTCACCTCCTTCAGTTGATCAGCACTTCCCCATGATGCTGAGCGCTGATGTGATCTCTTTTCTGCTCCTTCTTCAGCCCAACAGCTGGGTGTCTAGAGGGAAAAAAAAAAAAAGAAAATACACTGTACTTAATTCTCCAAGTGAGAAAAACTTCTGGCACAAATTACTGCTTTACTGTTTAGGCAGCATCAGAGTTTAGGCATTACACATGAAGAATAAATTTCAGAATCTGATATACAGCAGTAACAGTCTCAATAAATAAAAAGCAATATAGAAAACCAAGGCTTTGCAAACTTGCATTTACAAAGCATGAGGACAATGCACATTACTGAAGAAGCAATCGGAGGCTTGGCAATCCCAGAGATTGTTCCACCCAGGAAGGAAGCTGGAAACCACCTTGGGGAACACCACAAAACCAATGCCTGCAGCTCCTTGTTGCCCTGCAAAGGTAGGTGGGAGCAGCCCCCCAGGGCAAGGCCACTCTACACAAACATGCCAGGCCAGGCACGGTACCATCATGCACAGAACTGTAATTTCAGAGCATTGGCTACACCTTCACAACCACCACACTGCCACAGTATTATACAGCCTACAGCCCCACACCTAACTCATCAGTGCTAGTATTTCATGTGATCAGTCTCTCTGTGTGCACAGGGCTTCATATCCCACTTGTGTTTTCTGCACTTTCCATGGTTTCAGCAGGGCCCAGCAAGCTGTGTGGATGACTAGAAAGCAAAACTGAAAAAATCTGTACTGAACTTTTTGCTGCATGTTCCCAGAAAAGAAAAAACAAGTCTTTATATAAAAAATTAAGAGTTCTGTGTGCTTGTTACATGATTCTGTCATATAATACCCCCTTCTATTTGGGTGTGGAGAAGAAACCAGGAAGGTAATACGGTTATTGAAAAAAAAAATAAATCAAGAGTGAAGAGTTAAAACAGCTACTTAAAAATATGTGGAAAACATTGATGTGCCTTAGCCAGGCAATCCTTGACTCTCATCACCCAAAGCACAGCCTCTGCCACATGAGTGTGCTAACTGTGTGTGCATCCACTTGCTCTGCATTTTAACAGAGCCATGTTCTAAGTAATTACTTGTTTTTGCAGACTGGGTACTTACCATCTCCCTGAAATGTGTGAAAAACATTGTGTTGGTTTTAAATGTTTTTTAAAACACTGAAGTGGCTTGCAGATTTCTAAGGAACTAGAGAAAATGGGAAAAATGTGCTTCTTTTTCAAAATCATGGGCTTTCACAACCTATTACAACTTAGTTTCCAATTTAAATTGCTCTTTTCTTACAGTATTTTACAACATCTCAAGTACAGCTGGAACCATACACTTATACAGAAACAGAAAACTAGCAATGTAAAGGGAATTCTATGAAAATTTATCTTCCAAACAGTGTTTTCTGAATACAATACTGCTCCATAATTTGGGGAACGACTCCAGGATGAAGTAGAAGCAGGCATTTTGGGTGCTTAAATACTTACTTGTAGTGCAGGAGGGTGCAGCAAGGATCACTACAAACTCATAGCCTTTCGACTATGTCTTAATAAAGAGAAAAGATACCAAGAATCTAAAACACCAAAGTGACTGTCTCAATGAAGAGAAGTACATTGTTCAAAAACAAAACAAATATGCAGAAAGCAAGAGCTTGCTTGTATTTTTTAATAAGCACAGATATTGATCCAGACAGCAAGAACAAAAAACAAAGTAGTAACAACACCCTGAAGACCTTCAGCAACACCACCAGTGACTGTTAGCAGACAGGTGGGACTCATATTGCAGATGAAAATCAAAAGTAAAAATCAGAAAACATCCATTCATTTAATACTAAATTTTGCACTTTCTCAAGTATGCTTTGACATTCTCGTACACTCCCATACTACCTCCCTTGAGACAAAGATTACTTTGTTGCTTCCACCTCTGGTAAATTGAGTCCAAACACAACCTTTCAATAATACACATACACCATCAGTATACAGGGGGCAGACTATTTGTGAGCCTCAATTTTATTAGCAGCATTAGATTACAAATGCTATATGATGTTTCTAGCACAGTATTGAAGTCAGGCAATGTTATATTACTGTGCTATTTGGAGTCAGATTGAAAAAAAGAAAAAGCATTAAAAAAAACATAAGCAGTTACTAGAATATTATAGCAAGCTAGTCCTCCTCAAACCCTAGAAAATGCTGTTTCTAATTTACTGTAATCCACATTATATGAAGATTAGTTTGGGGTTCATAACCCCAAATCCTGATATTCAAGGAAAAGCTTTTAAAAAGCAAAACAAACAGAAGCATCCCAGACTTGCTGCATTCAAATAGAAATTCTGGTTTTCTAAGTTTAGCTCACGTATGACCATCTCGTATCTCACTTAAAGGCTGTCATTTAAATCATAAATAAAATGGGGGTGGTATGGCACCCATGATGTCACATTTCATGAAAACTGTTTTCTCATCTTTATTTACAACTTCCACAAAACAGGCTTATCCATGGAACCCTTCATTTGAAGCTGCAAGTGTACTTCCCGTACGTTAAACATATTAAAAAATAATGGAAAATATAACTCAAAATCGTGTTCGAAGAAAAATGTCCGAATCACAATAAACAAAACCAAAGATGCTGCATCTCAAGTCAGGAACACAGTAAGAGAGGTCAGGCACTACCTGCAAAACTGGTAATATTTCAGAGCAGAAGCAAAAGAATGCATCACATAAGTATGCACTGAACTTCATGAAGAAGGATTAGTCCTGCAAGTCTGAGAAACTAAGATTTTAGGAGAACCTTGAAAATATAACATAAAACATGCTGCAGCTACAAGAGGTGGATGACTAGTTTTCGAACTGTGAAGGTTCGTGGTCCATTTCAGTCGACATGTGGGGCAGGACGTGCTGAGAACATCATATATGGTTGGTCTCTTAGTCTTCACGTAAACCTCAGCTACCATCATTCTATCTCACCCAGCCCCTTAGAGATGAGCACTTCTTCCAACACATTAGGTAATTCTGCCTTGCTTTTCCACCCATGTCAGGGACATACATCTACATTCTTTCCACTTCAGTTAGATCAGAATGACTGCATAGAATACCAACCTACTTAAACCTAAAATAAGACTGAATTACTCTAAACATCTCACATTTTATTGCCAGCCCTTCCCTTCAATTACTATACCTAGCCTGCATCCCAGAATATCTACACAAGTCTAGGTTTTACAGGGGAAGCAGTAATGTTTTTGAAGAAATTCCACATTCAGAAGAAACCCAAGAGCAACACTAGAAGATAAAAACTGATGGGTTTTCAGATATTTCCAAAGTATTCAAAGGCCCTCCAGAAATTTTACAGAAAGAAATAGCCTAAGGAGTTAGAAGTTAATTTGACTATAGATGATAACTCCTAAACGTAAGACAGGTTAAGTAAAGTTAGAATGATAAATTCATAGCTCTATGACACATGTATCTTCTTCCCTGTAACTTCCATCCAAACTACATCATTAAATTATCTCATAAAATCAATGATAACTAATACACCAATAAAAAAGTTTCATGGAATTGAGCCTCTTGGTTTATGATGTTCATTTTAGAGCAAAAAAAATTCTATCCAGAAGGAAAAAAAAGGTGTCTAATGAGGGCTAACTACATTAAAGCCTTGACCTACACATAAGAAAAACATATTTCAGCCAAGCATTTCAACCTAATAACTCTGCATTATTCTTTAGATGAGAGTGAAACAAAAATTCTGAGAGTCATTTTGCAAACTTTCTTAATTTGTGTAATACCTAATTGCCATATACAATGAGAAAGGCATATCCAACAATACTGGACTCCAGTTTAAGTCGTCAATTGGAAATCATTGGCTAATATTCCATTTGGTCATTTGTTCATTTCTTTGTATTATTTAGATTGAGAAAGATTACACAGACCAACTTTAACTGGTATCAACATCATGTTTATCTCTAATCTCTCCTTTTTAATTTTGTAAGTATCCTTTATATTATTTAGTTACTGCCAGATAATTATATTAATCAACTCTGGCAATTATCCAAATGTTTCTGAAGATTTCAAGGTTAGGGATAACCATTTCAACATTGAATTATTCCGTACACTGTGAAGGGGGAAATACTTAATGATGAAGCATGAAGAAGCGGTGTACAGAATTGCTCCATCAGTGCTCCCAACAGAGACAGAAAAAATGGGGAAGAAAGCTATACTGAGTTTTAAATGACCTTAATGAAAAGTTCCGATTTTACAAAAGGAGAGGAAAGTAGGACAGTGGAAGAGCTCAGGAAGGGGATCACAAAGTATATCAACACGTGTAACTTCCTATAATAGAAAGTTTACCTGTGTTTCTGAAATACTTAAAACACTACTAAATAAAATTGCATACCTCTAATTATCCAAAACATGCTACTTCCTAAAGATCAACTAGTTCTATGTGTATGCACACATACATACACTAATATAAACACATGCAGAATTCTGAGAAATACTGAACAGTATAACTATCAGAATGTAACAACCTCACTTCTCTATTTTAAATCAAAACATTTGGGGTAAGTAAGAGGGACACAGAAATATGAACTATAGCTCCTATTCTCCAAGATGCAACAGAAACTAAACCAAATAAAATTCTGTTCCCTCTATTTAAAAAGTGAGATATTGTTGATTTTTTTTAATTGTGATTTTATTTTAGAAAAAGAAGAAGTGTTTTATTCATGAGTATTACACAGGTTGAAAGAACTTAAGCGGGAAACAAGGACTTGGAATAAAACTCATTGAGGGCTCATCTGATCACAGTGAAGACCAGAAACTGACTCTCTTTTTTTAAAAACAAGAATTCTAAGAAACTTGGAACAGCCATAATCATCACCTTAACAAAATTGCACAAAATTTGGATTTTAAATTAGTGTTTAATTAGGGACAAAAAGTACCCTTGAAAGAGAAATAATTATTCCACCTACAATGTAAGTTATACTGACAGCATTGTTCACGAGTTTAGAAGTAAAACAAGAGATAATTTATTCCCCAATGAAACATGCTCATAAAAAAATGGTTTACTGATTTTCATTATCTTTTTTTCTATTTATTTTGTTTGTAACATCTTCCATTCTGCTAAACTACTAAGTGTTATTATTTTTAGATAGCGTAAACTACACGAACTCCCATGAGTTAAACTGCTACTTAGCCAACAAACATGAAGCAGTAGAAGCACTTGTGCTGGTACCCAGGCAAAGTACAAGGCTTTAATTTAATTTAATTTGCCATGCATGCATCCTATCAACGACTCGGAAATCATCCTTAGTTCTTGAAATTAGATATACTTCAAACTACACAGAGCTCAAACAACAGAAAGCCACGCACACAACCAAAACATAAGACAATGTTTTATGATCATCTACAAGCCTCTCTAGGAGCATTTCATTTGAAAACAAAACAAACAAACAAAAAACTAAACTGGAAATCACTGTGCAAATCACTATGCCTGTTCCATTTTACATATTCATATGGTCCCAAGTAGTGACTCAACCTAAACACTGATACATGCTCGAGTTTGGCTAATATAATTCTTTGTTAGAAGATATCCACCAACCCTGCTCCTATCCCTTTGAAATAATACTTTAACTTGCAATGACAACAGTACTGCCTCTCTTCTTTGTTACATTAGATTATGCTGAGAAGGTAAAACTTCATTTTCAGTTTCTGAATGAGGCAAAGGGAGGCAGCCAACAGTTCACATAACCTAAACACTTACTTGAGCTCACTAAGAAAGCAATTTTACTGCCAAATACTTGAAGCTCAAATATTTATAGAACAAGTTTGTTTATCTTTTCTGTAACTAGTGAAAAGGTTTGTTTGTGAATGTTAAAATATTCTATATTTTCTATTCATAACGGTACTTGCAAAGTTTGATATGGATATATGTTTTAAGAGAGGGGTTGAGAAATACAATAACTACAAAGCAGGCTACTGAAAATCTCCTGAATAGAAATTATGGTTTCAAAACAGAAAAGATCTTCAAGGAATAGTATTGTAAAAGGAAGGCACTTTGAAAGCCAGTCCAGAATTTAGAGCTTTTTAGGTAGATCTTTCATGACAGTAAATATGACTGCTGCTTCTTTTTTGCTAAAACTGACTGTTTTTAAAATAAATAAGCAGGACATGAAGACAGCATTTTCTTAAAGGGTCTCCACTACAGTTCCTAAATATTTTCTTGGAACATTTTAATCATCAGACTCCCAAATTCATTAAATAAGATTTCCGAAACATAAAGATAGATCTTTTTTCTTTTCTAAGTATTCTATGCTTATCTTTCCCCCATCAGAGGACTTCCTGTGTTGCATTACACCGTATTTTGAAGAGATGAGGAAAATTATATATACTTGCCCAGAAAACCTCAGTATTACACAAAAAACTAGAATCACAGAATCTATTTAAAGATCCATGATAAGTATGGACCAGAATCATGGCACAAGAGATAAGCAACTAATTAACAACCATCCCTACACAGCCTATAGACTGAAAATACAACCAAAGAGAGCTAGTTTCTTTTCATTTCCAATTTAGTTTGGAACACAAACTCAGATGACTTATTCCATATCCCAATAGCACTGCTGAAAAATAAAGAATGCAGCTCCTCTGCTAATAATTTGTGGGGGTTAGAATTATGTGGTTTTTATTTGTTTGACAGTGATTATTTTTGAGGGCAACAAGCTCCAGCATGAGGAGGAAGCAGGCAAGAAACACCATTCACCTTTCTAGCCAAAGAGCAGTATGAAGGCCACAGCAGCCCACCTGCCAGAGGTTCCTGCTAAGGACAGAGCCCTGAAGAGAATCCAAGGCTATCACAAGGGTATCAGGCCATCAATGACCTCAGTTAGCCTTCCCTCAATTCCCCCCCCCCGACACAAATACACTTTTTGAGACTGACAGATTTTTTACCCTGACTTAGTAAACTCTTTAGTTTGTCAGCCACTGCTATATGGAATTTTTTCTTTTTTTTTAAATAACATTCAGCATAATTTTGCATATAGCAGCTTAAAAATAAACCAGATACAAGGCTGAGATGGAAATCTGCTTATTTAGCCTCAACAGATCTGCCCACATACCGAAAATTATTTTTAACAACTGTTTCCTAAAAGCATAAAAATATTATCATCACACACCATGTTACTGCATTGACACTGCTTAAAAAAAGACTACCGTACCCTATTTTTAGGGTTTCATATTTATAGTAAGATTACGTGAATCCACATTTCTTCAGAATTAAATTGAGTAGACATCAGTTATTGAAACATCTCTGTTGTCTTGTTTTACAGCTTTTACCTGAGTAGATTTATCTTTCATACATGAAGGGTAGTGTACATGGGGATCACGTGGCCACTGTCCTGTGAGGTAAGGTCCTGTTATTGTGTCCAAAGAAGAAGTTCGCCTTATGGTACCAGAAGTTCTGATTTGCTGGGATTTTGGCCTGTCCACTGTAGAAAACCAGAACAAAACCAACAAAAAAGTCAGGCTAAATTTCATGTGAAATGTTAAAAGCTAGCTATGACACACAATGGCAAGAACACATCAGAAACCTTTGTCTAAATGCCAAGCTGAAAAGAACGCCATCCCATCAAAGCAAATAACATCAGACAAAGAAGAAAAACAAATACAAAAGAGAAAACAGTCACAAAACCCCCAATGCTTAAAGTGTTCATATCCGCAAAGAACTGGGCTACTTACACCATATATTTTCATCAACAAAAAACATCAAGTAAATTTAAATACAGTGATGATGCAACTCAGGAAAGCCAGACACACAGAAATAGAAAATATAACATAATATAACATTAAGTTAGCTTGCTTAGCTTTCTAAATACTAAAACACAAACCATGACAAAAATTATGGTTCTTAAGAAGATGTACATCCAATTTATTGCTCTTATGTACATCATTCCATATTATTTACAAGATCCCACTACAGGCCTTAGCAAGCTGAGAGCATGACTGTGTCTTTCCCTCTGACAGAGCTCAGTTCAAAGCAGCTGCCTTGCTTGCTTTTGCTCATCACAGTGCCTGCAGTTCTTGAGTCCTTCCTGGACTTCTCTCCTCATACACCTAGATCATGGAACACTTCTTCCTGCATTTCATTTGGAAAGCAGAGTGTGGGGTGATTCATGAGATTGATGTGGGAAAGAACAGTTTTAGACCATGCTCTCTGGATCATCTTGCTTTGTCCTTTAGGCAAAATTACCTCATATACTCATTTTCTAGACTTCACATTAGCCAACCTAAGCCCTACATTGCAGCTCCTGTCTGTTTTGCTCACCCTTACTAAAAGAAAATAGCAAGTGCTAATTTCCAAGTTAATCACGTGCTATGCACTGATCTGACCCACCAAAACCCTACTCACTGCTCAGAACAGGAGAGCAGATCTGCTGGCACACTTCTGAATCCAAACATGGCCACTGGCCTTCACAAGCATTTTCAATATCACCTAGAACTGATGGATCTCCAAAGGCTGAGTCAATCATCAATGTGTTATGTAACATTCAGCACAATTATTAGGGTATAGCACTAATACAGCATGGTTATAGATATATGAACATGACAGTATTAAAACAGACCATTTTAGACAAATATAAGCCACTGAAACACTTCATTAGCTACTCATTGCAGGTGAAGAATTCTAAATAATGGCATGAATTGGACATACAGTAATACATCATGCTGCCTTTTATGCAATATAATTGTTCTGACTGCCTTAAATATAAATCAAATCCCTACCATTTTAAACAGAACTATCCTTATAGAATTCCAATTGTGACAAATTTGCATTTTAAGAAAGATCTTTGAACTATTAAAAGCAGCATGAAATCCAAAATAAAGATAGCAAATTTTAAAAATGAAACTAGTTTTTACATTTGCACTGAAACACAAGTGTACCTAAGGGGTACATAGCTACAAAGCATTTTTCCAACCATCCTTGTCGCACTATGGCACTACGCTACTCTCTTAGGTAGCCCAAGTTTTGAAAATTTCTCAAAAACACTTTTTAAAATATGCTAGAGACAATGTACAGATAAACAGGCAAAGACAATGTCTGAAGATGAGGAAATAAGGACTAAGCATACCTTTGCAAACTTTACATTTAAAAAGTCTTGCTGCCAAAAGAAACCAACCAAGAAAGCACAAGCCCAGAAACCACAAATAAAATATATACCATGAGATAATGAGCTAAGGTCTGTTTCTTGTTCTACACCCAGAGGAAAGGCAATAGCAATCCCATAAGGACTAACATAATACCATTACAACAGAACAGGAAAAAAAACCACTACCAAAAGTTAGTACATTTTTATTTTTCCATGGTAATCTTGGAAGTGGACTGCAGGACACTGTCAAACCGTAAAGCCAGGAAAACAAAATCTTTAAGACGTGGTTTCAAAAGTCCCTACTCTTCTTCAGCATTCCTATGACTCACAGGAAACAAACCACTTCTCAACTGCATGAACCAATTCAAGTTAACACTAATTTAATGCCATCCCTATTCCACTGTTGTCCGCGCTCTTTCCATTGCCTTTGAGACGGCATGCATAGATACGTGAATCCACCTAGTAAAGTGATTCACTGAGTTAAACATAAAGACAACTAAAATGCATTCCCCCAAAGTCATAAATACACCGTTTTCCCCATTACAGGCAGAGTTGACATAACATAACAGGTAGAAACAACCACAGGAGAGCCAGAACGAACAGCAGGGCTGCAGCAGCACTGAGCTCTTTTCAATAATAGTTTCAGCTCCTGACCTTTTATATCATTAGATCATAAAAAATACAGAAAAAGGGATCTCTAAGCATGAAATTTGAAGGGACTTCTACAAGTTAGCATTTGACAAACTGTCTTGTATAGTAATGTACTTAGAGATGACAGGATGTCACGGAGAGCAGCATTGTACTGGACCACAACAGTGGCACATCAGATCAGCTCAAACTTTTCTCTAAATATTAAACCTGCTCTCAGGATTTATTTCTTAATTTTGCTTTTCTCACCTCATCCTAAGTCTGTCTTCTTACTATGCTAGGGAGCTACTACAAAACTTTCACTTCTCCCCAAACTTTCATTATCAATGAAATGTTGATGCTACTGTCATGAATATCCTTCTCCAGACCAAATCACTTTCTCTGGATAGAAACTTAATGTTTCTCACAGAATCAAGTACCATCTGACAGTTGAAGCACTTCAACAGCTCCTGGACACAGCCAACAGACTTCAGCATTCAAAAAGGCTTCAACACTATCAAGACATCTCTAAAGTTACAGACTGATTTTATGCAAGTTTCAGACTACACCTCATCTGACAATATCTAAGTGTATGAATGAGTAAGTCAGAAGGATTCTGTTGTCTTCCTCAGTGACATCTAACACATCTCACAAGAAGCTCAGCTCTACCTCCAGAGCAAGTGAACTTAGGAGAACAGCACTGAAGCAGTGTAACGTTACCTGAAAAAGCCAGCTAGAAATTAGAAAAGCAAAATATAAGCTTGCAGGAAGGTAAAATACCTCGTGTTATTTAAAATATGCCACAAGTTTAATGGCATGTATTTAGAGCCTATTGCTACACTATTCTAGTTATAAATAATGTTACGCAGAATGACAGAAGGGTCCATCTCAATACTACAGCTGGTGAAATTCGGCATGATCCTACCTCCCAGCAGGAACCAACTAAAATAAACTGCATGAAATCACAGTTCTGCATGCTGGATTGAGAGCAAAGAGAATCCTAGTTATACCACCTAGACTGACTGAAAAAAGGTTTTCATTTCTCTGACAGCAAAATGTAATTCAGTAAGAGGCTAACACGACAGCTCTTTAGAAAAGGACACAGGGCTCAAATAAAACCATCTGCTACAGCTCTAAAATGAAGAGCTTGCCTTCCCATCCAGCATAGAGGCAGCAAACCTGTGCATAATCTGAAAGCCATGTTCACAGTCCATTTTTAGCTTAAATAATGCTTTGTGCCACACGTGCATGGAGGAAAATCACCTGCAGCTGAAGAGCATTGGTAGCATTATAAAAACTGCTTCAGCTAAATCCACCAGAGCTCATCTGTCAGCATCTTTTCTTCCCATCTTTCTCTCAGCAGTGAGCAAATGCTGTTCAAGTTTGGCAAGAACTTTTCCATTCACATCCTTGCATGGATATAACCAGCTTCAAAAGACTAAATTACCTTAGGAACTTCTCAGATGACACAGACTCTTCTCAAGTTGAGTCAAAAACATGAAGTGTTAATATTGTCATCTCATTATTGATGTCAGCTAATTGTGACACTCTCCTACCATAAGGTTAGACAACATTCTTGCAGTAAGATCTTGATTTTTCTCTTGAAAGTTTGTCTTAACTTAAACTATTAAGCCAGGACAGCCAAGTTATGACATTATGAAATATCAGTACTAAATTCCACAATAAAGTTTTCATGAGATGTTTCTCTTCAGTTTAGTTGCCAGCACTCCACAGAACATTCTGGTTAAGAGCTACTACTGAAGTGAGTCCCAAGCTTAGGACTCATCCATTCCTGAAGATATTCAGATTTTACATAGGAAATGAATAGTAATTCCAAAAATACTCAAGACTCTTGGAAGGACTCACTTCAATGGATATCCCCAGTCTGCTTAAGACACTTTTCAAGAGCCACAAAGTCAGAGTTCTAGTCGTCAGGCTTGAAGGATATGCAGAGACTATATATCACTCTATGAATGAGTATCAGATATTTCTAGAGCATTCCATTCAGACATGGCAACAAATTTACAACAATCTACAAACCCAATCAGATGCAGAAGTGCCTGCGTGAATGCCTCTTAAATAACGAAGCACCTGAGAATGCAGTCCAAGAAATCATAAACTAGAAATGGAAAGCTGAATATTTAAGAATGGTGACCCACGGTGACCTTTAAGAAGTATAGCCCAACACCACCTAGGTCACACTTCCCACAGGAGCTACTGATGACTGCCCCACACATCTAGCTAAAACTCCCCTCTTCTGTTACACCTTGAACAAGCATGAAAGAGGGACACCGCTGCTCTTCCCTGCTTTGGACAGCGATTCCTTGAGTACCAGAAAAAGCAGATTTTCAGCTTCAAGAGGAGTAAGTCTAGGACAAGTCTGGGAAAGGGGTTTTGCCTTTCTGTTTGCTTTTTAAGCAAGTATATAGTGACACTGCACTGATTCCTGAATGTATATCTGATTGGTCTTTCCTGCTCTGATTATACAGGTAGATGGTCAAACTGGTGCATGTTTATTTGCAGAACTTGTCTCTATAACTTTGCGAGGAAAAAGATTGAATAATGGGGATTTAGAGGCCACTCCAAAAAAAAATATTTCAATCTTCATTCTCAAGAAGGCTTTTCTCTTGTAACTGGAGCCAAAATCTCTCATGAAAAAGATTAACAAGGGATTTGGGGTACCCTGAAGTTTTACTCCAGAGGACAGATCTATT